CTTTACGGACGGATGCGAACATGTCCAGTACGGCAGCTCGGGCTATGTGTTCATCGTACTCGAAGGATGATGATCTTTAGATGCAGGTATATGACAGCAAGAACGAGGAGGAGGAGGATCACAGACTTGAGCACGACCAGATGATGCGGTACTTGTCCTGCGGAACCTACGCGACTGGGGTGACGACGCCGACAGCGACGACTACGAGTACGGCAGAGACGAACGAGCATGTCCAGCAACCCCCCCTTGCCCCGAGACGCGAGCAACTTATGATGCTCAAGTGCCGTGGGGGAGTGGATCTCAGGAGAGGCGAAATCCAAACGGAGTCAGCACAGACGGAGACCTAACACGCCGCACGGACCTACTCTGTATGGACTTGGCCTCCTAGCAGGAGAGGCTAAGTCCAGAAGGAGTAAACACAGACGGATACCTCACACACGGTGCGGCCCTACTCCGTATGGACTTCGCCTCCCATCAGCAGAGGCGAAGTCAAAAGGACCAAGCACAGATGGAGACCGAGCGCTCCGTATGGACGTCCTCTGCATGGACTTAGCATCCGCCGATGGATCGTGTTAATCTGCAAACTCGAACACAAGACCTTGTTCCGCAACACTTCCTCAACACCCCTTTCGTGGTGATCCTGCCCACGACGCTGCGATCCAAGACTGGATCAACACATCGATGATCAGAGAAACGGGAAACATCCCGAGGTACAGGAACTACCCAGACCTACAGGTATAACAATCAACCCTACAGCAATGGCAGTATCTGAAAGGGTTGGGTACTCAATCTGCGGCACCTCTACAAAATGGGACGCTGGCATGTATCGACTTCATCAAGGAGGATATCTACCACAGGATTGGGGGCCGAATTCCATACAGACGAGGCGGCGTAACGAAGCTTGAATGACAACACACATCGCAAGAAAATCGCCATCGGTGACACGGTACACGGCATGAGCGAAAAGAGGTCACCGTGGCGCCCAGCTGAGTACAACGACTTCAATTTACAGGACCTGATCGACCAAGCGGTCAAGGTCTTCTGGCCGGTCAGTGCGAGCAGCTTGCTGGCACGGGCAGAGATCGGCAGAAAGACTTGATAGAGCACCACCGCGTCTGCCTGTAGAGTACCTCGCCAGACACCAACCAGGTGCACGGTGCACAGCACATCGTACAACAGCCGCGTCTACATAGAGTCTGGCTCACCTTCCCCCACGGCTGAGATAGGCATCCGATTCTGCTCGAGCTGTTTTCCGCGACGTCTCCCTCGCTCCACTTCTCCCATCTGTCGTCACAATGGCTACACATCTTGAGGCCCGACGAATCGCCAGAAGTTATGTACGCGCGCATGTGATCCTCAAGTTGTTTGCGGCGGCTCGATTCCATGCTTCGAGGCCCAGCCGACTCGGCATCAGGCGGGCGCCCGCGGCGTGCACAAGAGGCGACCGCTCGCGCGCGGAGGCCTCAGCGGCGAGGGGCCCCTCCTGCACTCCTGGCCCCCTGTCGGGGTGAGAGTCTGGCCCTTGACTTTCCGACGACGAGCCAGAGTGACCCTGGGTAAGAGTGACCTTTGGTGCGCGGCTGCTTGGGGGCCGCGGGGGGACCAAAAACACAAGGGCGCAAGACGCTACTACTGCACCGTGTTCGGCGATCGCGGCACCCCAGTGGGCGCGCACCAAAGGTCACTCCGGCGAAAATGACGTCTGGCCCTCGACCTTCCTCCCTTTCCTCCCCCCCAGGAACGACCTCCGCCGGCGTGCGGGGGGTCGCGGGGCGGCGAGCGCGGGCACGCAGGGCGCGCGGCGGCGTGACTTCGCGATGGGAACGCCGTGCGATGGCACTGCGGAGCGGGAGGAGGAGGAGGAGAAGCAGGAGGAGGAGGCGGAGGAAGATGATGATGATGAGGAGGATGAGGAGGAAGAGGAGGATCGAGGAGGCAGAACAACTAGGGGGATGAGTATTGGGGGGAGGGGGGGAGGAGGGGAAGGAGGAGGATCGAAAATGGTGATGGTGATGGGAATGGTGATGACTATTAGGACTCCCATTAGCGGTCGAAAGGTGCCACGAGGACGCGATCGGCGAGGCAATTGTTATGTAATGGCGAAAGACGAGCAAACAGATGAGAAAACAAATGCCGGCGGCGATAAATCTGCCTAGCACGAGCAAGAAGAATGTGACGAACAACTTCAGACCGTGCGAATCATTATCCCGCAAGTGACGAAAAGCACACTGTATCAATTCGATGGCAAGAGCACTTGCAATGAATTTGCTATCACAAGACCGCCGAGGACGATATCTATGACGGGAATCGCCATCGAAGAAGAAGCGCGGCAGCGACGGCAACATGTGCGAGAGGCAATTTACAATATGCTCATACATAGTAAAGAATAGTATTTGCAGTATGCTCACACATTTAGAGTATGATCACATCAGCAGCAGCCTGATCACATACAAACCTGCACAACCCCCGCCCCATACCTCGCTATCGTAGCCCATCCGTTGCGCATGGTCTTCAGCACATTTATGGCGACAGAACACGGCAGCTTCGTGGCACCCAATTGAGTCTGATCAGAACGGTTGTCTCATTATGAGCTTGCACCTCGGAGTCAAAGTACCTAGGCCTCGAAGCAAGATGTTCAGTGACACTGCCACGCGCGTGGCGCAAACACTGCAAGGCACCAGCTTGATACTGACGATGTCACGGGTCAGGAGGAAGTCCAGGAAGTTGAGACAGCCAACGCCAATTTTCGCGAAGTTGATAGAACATACTGGTGCTGAGCCGCTCAGCATATCGATAAGCCACCAGCCAGTCATCTCCTTCAAGCACCTCCCAATACCATTCCACAAGACGAACAAACCTGCCTGATCGAGCAACTTCCTGTACTGAGCAGCGGCAGCATATTCAGCGATGCCATTCGCACCGACAGGAATCCCAAACTCCTTCAGTATCCAGAACATATCAGGATGTAAAGCAAAGCGCGGCCTACTTATCACAGTTTGAAGCCCTTCGCGCTGACAGCGGAGAATCTCAGACGTCGCACTGTTATACTAAGCAATATACGTGGGCACACTCACGGCCAACGAGTTGTAGCTCAGGATGGTCTGCGTGAAGCCAACCACGAGCGACTGACAGTGTATAACACACTGCATATACTTATTGAGAAGCAAACTCTAAGAATTGATGTACGCATTCTCACCGATGAAACCCATGTACGTGACATAGGTGGCGAAGATGAGAGACTCAGCATTCATGCCCAGCCCCTGCAGATGCCGCAAGCTGCCAGCACGATCGTGACAGTTAATGGAATACGTGTAGGTCTTCGCAACGTTGACACACAATCCAATCGCACGGCCACAACTGATTAGCAGACTCGGAAGCCCACGAAGACCCCGCCCACAAAGAAGCTGATGCTGATGCTGCTGACGATGATGGAGCTGTTGCTGTTGCTGTTGCTGATGACGATCCTGATGATGGTGGCGATGATGATGGTGGTGATGATTATGATTAAGATAATGATGATGATAACGATAATGATGATGAAGCTGATGCTGATGCGGATGCTGATTATGCTGATGCCGATGATGATGATGCTGCTGCGGATTATGCTGATGCTGATGCTGTTGCTGCTGATGATGTTAATGCTGATGGTGATGCTGATGATAATGATGCCGAGCAAGAGGAGGAGGAGGAGAAGGAGGAGGAGGATGAGGAGGAGGATCATGAGGATCCAGGAGGAGGAACAGCTAGGAGGAGGAGAAGGAGGAGGATGAAGAGGATCGCTGCTGCTCATGATGATGCTGCTCATGATGATGCTGCTGCTGATGATGATGATGATGGCAATGACGATGACGATGCTGATGACGAGGACGATGACCATGACAACGATGATGACGATGATGATGATGCTGATACTGATAATGATGACGATGATGATACTGAAGATGCTAATGATGATGCTGGTGATGATGCTGACGCTGATGCTGATGCTGATGCAGATGCCGATGCTGATGATGCTGCTGATGATGATGATGCTGATGATGATTCTGATGATGACGATGATGATGATGATGATGCTGCTGCTGATGATGATGAGGAGGAGGAGGATGAGGATGATGATGATGATGATGATGATGATGAGGAGGAGGAGGAGGAGTAGGAGGAGGAGAAGGAGAAGGAGAAGGAGGAGGAGGAGGAGGAGGAGGAGAAGGAGGAGGAGGAGGGGAGGAGGAGGAGGGAGGAGGAGGAGGAGGAGGAGGAGGAGGAGGAGGAGGAGGAGGAGCGAACTTGTGTTGGACGAACCTGGGCCCTTCTGAACTTCTGGAGGTCTCCGGGGGCCTCGGGGGGACCTCGGGGGCCCAGAGGTCCCTGGGCGGCGGCCAGCGGGGGAGAGAGCACTCACACCTCCAACGCCTCGAAGGTCGAGGATCGAGGTCGAGGATCGAAGGTTCGAGGTCGAGGATCGAGGGGAGGGGCGGTATCGAGGGTCGAGGATCGAGGGGAGGGGCGGCATCGAGGGGGTTTCTGGGCGTGCCCCGCCCCTTTTCGGGGCCTCTCGGGGGGCTTTGCGCGGCCGCGGCCGCACTCGCCTCGATGTTCTGGCCAGAGCACACCCCAGGAGAGCTCCAAGGATCCACTTTTCTGAAGACCCCGTGCAGGCCTGCGACATCTGGGGGAAGCCGCCGTGGCGCTCTTCTGCCACCTCGGCGTCCAAATTCCGCTTCTGGGCCCGAGGGCTCCCAAAGAACTGCTCAGGACAAGAGCCCCAGTCCCGGGGAAAGGGTCGAGAGGTCGGATGGGGGGCTCCCTCCGCCTCCCTCCCTCTCCCTCGGGAGGAGGAGGGAAGGGAGCGAGGAGGAGGGGGGAGCTGGGCGGAGCGAGGAGGAGGAGGGGGAGGAGGACGACGACGACGCCGACGACGACGCCGACGACGACGGAGGGGGAGGAGGAGGACGACGACGCCGACGCCGACGCCGACGCCGACGACGACGACGCCGCCGCAGATGACGACGACGAGAGCGAGGCCGAGGCGGCAGGCGGGCCCGAACGCCCGGCTCGGCCCGCGGGGGGTGGCCGGCGGGGGCCGGGCGCGCTCAGGGGATGTCCTGGCCGTTGAGGATCTTGAGGGCCTCCTGGAGCGACTCGATCCGCCGGCCCCGTGGCCTGGCGGCCGAGGCCCCCGGCGGGGGCGTCGAGCTTCTCGCGTGGATGCTCTCCTCCTCCTCCTCCTCCTTCTCCTCCTCCTCCTCCTCCTCCTCCTCCCTCCCTCCCTCCTCCCTCCCTACCATCCTCCTCTCCTCCTCCTCCTCCTCTTGCTCCTCCTTCCTCCTCCTCCTCCTCCTCTTGCTCCTCCTCCTCCTCCTCCTCCTCCTCCTCCTCCTCCTCCTCCTCCTCCTCCTCCTCCCCCCCCTCCTGGCCGTTCTGGATCGTGAGGGCCTCCTGGAGCGGCTCGATCCGCCGACCCCGTGGCTGGGCTTTGGGCCTCCTGGATCAGAAGAAGAAGAAACAACATAAACATTAACTTTTGGCGCTCTGGGCGAATTTCTGGGATCTGCGCCGGACCCCTCCCTGGCGCGCTTCGAGGCGCCGCCAGGGGGGGCCCAGCTCGGATCCAAGAAATCCGCGCGGAGCGCCAAAAGTTTATGTTCATGCCGTTTTTTCTTCTTCGGTGGATGGGGTTAGAGTAGATGGTGTCGGAGGATCGCGCCGCCGCATCGCCGATGTATCAGCGTTGTATCGACGTTGTGTCGGCGATGCGGCGCGATCCGCCGACCCCATCTACTCGGACCCCATCTAGGAGGCCTCTAGGGGTCGAGAGGACTTGTTCCAAGCACGAAGCACCACGGGTGACACAACCACGTCGCGAATCAAAAAGTGGTGGGGTCGAGGGATGTGCCGAGGACGGGGGAAGACAGGGCGAGGACGATGGGGACGAGGGCGGCGAGGAGGGCGAGGAAGACGACGGGGGCGACCTGCGGACCTGGGCTGGGGAGAGTCCGGCGGAGCCAGGGCTGGGACTCCTCGTTCCAGAGCGTTCCAGAACGCTCTCAAAGAGTTCTGGGGCGCTCTGGAACGGCCGCGGCGCCCGATACGTCCCCCAGACCCGCCGGATCTCAGATCCCCGACTCGTCCTGGCCCGATCTTGTCCTGGTCCTGGCGTCGTTTTACAGGGAGGAGGGAGGGGAGGGAAGGTTCCTGGAACGGCTCGGTCTACCGATTGGGGCCACTACTCCGTGATCCTTCTGCTGTTTCTCCTTCGCCTCGCCAGCGTCTGATCTGGCAGTGCTAGATTAGCCCCACCACTGGGGGCTCCACTCGCATGCTCGAAAATAAAACACTTTCAAAGTCTGCTTCTACAGAGTCTGGACCCTATTCCCGCCGCCTGCGAACCGCATGGGTGGATCTTGCCAGCCCCTGCGCAGGCCCTGACATCCCCTGGATGGGTCTGTACGTTTGTCAGATGCCTCACCCCGGGTCGCCCAAAGTAGCGCCCGACGGACCGAGACCGTCCCCAAAATGGCACAACGGCGCCCCCACCATGGCCATGACAAGGCCCAACGATGTGCGTAAACAAACGCGACGAACTAAATACACTTGCTTGAAATGTTGAACGATATTTGGCCGTGCCGGTGTTAGACGTCTCCTGCTACTCCTCCTACACCAATCCGAACCGTGCAGTTGCACTGAGTGGAACGCCCTCGTCTCTTTCAGACCTCTGTATTGAGCATTGTGAGCGTTCTGTATACGGGACCCATGGCCCGGACTTCTGGGCGCTTTGGGCGCTCCAGGGCGGCTCGCGTGATTTTGTCAGAGGCCTCTGGGGCGCAGTTGGGCTTCCACACATCTCGCATTTTTTCAGATGGTCCCAGGGCTAGGGAAACGAACAATGACATAAACATGACAACTCGGAGGTCCGCACGGATTTCTCGGATCGGCGTTGGACCGCCCTCCCTAGCGCGCGGAGCGCGCCAGGGGCGGCGCCGAAGGCGCCGCCAGGGGGCTCCAGCGCCGATCCGAGAAATCCGCGCGGACCTCCGAGTTTTTCTGTCTATGTCATTGTTCGTTCCCCTGGGGGCCCTTCCTGGAAAACCCTACTGAGCCGCCTCGCATGCCCTGGGAGCCGCCGCAGCACGCCAACACACACACAGACACAGACACAGACACAGACACAGACACACACAGACACACACAGACACACACACACAGACACGCGCACACACACACACACGCACACACACACACACACACACGCACGCACACACACGCACACACACGCACACACACGCACACACACGCACACACGCACACACGCACACACGCACACACGCACACACGCACACACGCACACACGCACACACGCACACACGCACACACGCACACACGCACACACGCACACACGCACACACGCACACACGCACACACGCACACACGCACACACGCACACACGCACACACGCACACACGCACACACGCACACACGCACACACGCACACACGCACACACGCACACACGCGCACACGCGCACACGCGCACACGCGCACACGCGCACACGCGCACACGCGCACACGCGCACACGCGCACACGCGCACACGCGCACACGCGCACACGCGCACACGCACACACGCACACACGCACACACGCACCACACGCACCACACGCACCACGCGCACCACGCGCACCACACGCACCACGCGCACCACGCGCACCACGCGCACCACGCGCCACACGCACCACACGCACCACACGCACCACACGCACACACGCACACACACGCAACACGCGCACACACACGCACACACGCACACACGCACACACGACACACACGCACACACGCACACACGCACACACGACACACGCACACACGCACACACGCACACACGCTCACACGCACACCACACACACACGCACATCCACACACGCAACGCACACACACGAACACCACACACACACACGCACACCACACGCACACACGCAACACACGCACACAACGCACACACGCACACACGCACACACGCACACACGCACACACGCACACACGCACACACGCACACACGCAACACACACCACTGCGCACACACGCACAGCATGACGCGGCAACAGCCACACACACAACACGCCGAACACAGCACACACGCACGCACACACGCCACACGCACAAACGCACACACGCCACCACGCACACACGCACACACGCACCACACGCACCCCACACGCACCACACGCAACACACGCCCCAACGCACACATTGCACACACGCACACACGCCCACACGCCCCACGCTCACACACGCGCACAGACGCACACACCACGCGCACACGCGCACACGCGCACACGCGCACACGCGCACACGCGCACACGCGCACACGCGCACACGCGCACACGCGCACACGCGCACACGCGCACACGCCACACGCGCACACGCGCACACGCGCACACGCGCACACGCGCACACGCGCACACGCGCACACGCTCACACGCGCACACGCTCACACGCGCACACGCGCACACGCGCACACGCGCACACGCGCACACGCGCACACGCGCACACGCGCACACGCGCACACGCGCACACGCGCACACGCGCACACGCGCACACGCGCACACGCGCACACGCGCACACGCGCACACGTGCACACGCGCACACGCGCACACGCGCACACGCGCACACGCGCACACGCGCACACGCGCACACGCGCACACGCGCACACGCGCACACGCGCACACGCGCACACGCGCACACGCGCACACGCGCACACGCGCACACGCGCACACGCGCACACACACACACATCCACACATCCACACACCCACCCCAACCACACACCACCACCCACACAACACACCACCACACACCACACACCACACGCACTACCCGCACGACACTGCAGCACCTGCACGCACCTGCACGCACCCGCACGCACCCGCACACACACGCAACGCACCGCCCGCACGCACGCACGCCACACACGCACACACGCACACACGCACACACGCACACACGCACACACGCACAACACGCACACCCACCCACCACGCACACACGATCACCAACGCACCCACGACACACGCACACCAAACACACACACACACACACGCACACACAAGCACACACGCACACACGCACACACGCACACAACGCACACACGCACACACGCACACACGCACATACGAACACACGCACACAGGGCCACACAGGCACACAGGGCACACACGCACACACGGCACGCACGCAACCACGCACACACCGCACACACGCACACACGCACACACGCACCACCGCACACACGCACACACGCACACACGGCCACACACGCGCACGCGCACGCACACGCACACGCGCACGCACCCGCACCCGCACACGCACACGCACCCGCACACGCACCGGCACACTCACCCGCGCTCACCCGCGCACACCCGCGCACACCCGCGCACACCCGCGCACACCCGCGCACGCCCGCGCACATCCGCGCACACCCGCACACCCGCACACCCGCACACACGCACACACGCACACACGCACACACGCACACACGCACACACGCACACACGCACACACGCACACACGCATTTGCACGCACACGCACGCACGCCCACCCGCACTTGCGCGCACCCGCACGCACGCACACGCACGCCACGCAAAACGCACGCACACACGCGCTCACGCACGCACGCAACACGCACGCACGCACACGCATGCCGCGCACAACCCACACGAACGCCACAACTGTGGGGCCAAACGCACGCACGCACACGCACACAAACGCACGCACACACAGACACACACACACACGCACACAAACACACACGCACACACACACACACGCGCACACACGCGCACACACGCGCCCACACGTGCAAACTCGCGCATACACGCGCACACACGCACACAGGCACACACAGCCACACACAGACACACACAGACCCACACACACACATACACACACAGACACACACAGACAGAGACACACACACAGACACACGCAGCGACACACACAGACACACACAGAGACACACACACAGACACACACAGAGGCACACACACAGACACACACACACAGAGACACACACACAGACACACACAGACACACACAGAGGCACACACAGAGACACACACAGAGACACACACACAGACACACACAGACA